CCGTTGAGCGCGGCATCGGCCACTAGGGCGGCATGTTGCGACTGTATTACCATCTACCCGCAGGCAAGTGTCCGGCGGTACAGTGGCGTACTGCTCCATAAGGACAAGGGTGCACGTTGAAATCCCCGACCTTTGCAACGCCTCGCTTTAGTTAAACATTTTCTATGAGCCCAGAAAGCACTTCCATTCAGTGAGTCTGGCGGAATTCTCACCTATTTGTTACAGAGGAGACAAAAAGTCCGCATTGGCGGGCCTGTGTTGCGGGTGCTGACCCTTCGCTAAGCTCATTATAAAAAGCTTTTTGCCGCAATTACTAAGCGAAGGAATACCACAGGTGCTGCTATATTATGCTATTATCTTTTTCGCTTTGGATCTTAGGGCATGTCAGAGAGGGGGAGGGGAGGGAGGGATGGGCTTGGAGCAGCGCCAGCCCTTCTTCAACAGCTGTTTTCGTTGCTCGCTTCAACGATAGTGAAAAACGTGCTAGGCGACCGTTCTTCACCCCCCCCTGGCCCTCAGCCCCGCCCGCCCCCGAACCCATCCACACAACACTCCAGCTCCGCATGAGAAATCATGACGAATTTCTCGTACTCTTCTTGCGAACCGTCTCTTCATCAAAGTTTATTTCAAGAAAAAGAAAGCTCAACGAAGATTAGCTGAATCAGAGGTGCGCTCTGGGCATACAGAAAATGCTTCAACAAAAGCAAAGCTTGCAAGGGGCAAGGATTCCGAATTAGTAATGATGTAAAGGGTGCCACCGTGACGAGAAAACTATGTAACTCCCTTCAGCGCATCATTCTGAAATTCCGAAAACAAAATTGAATCCATTGTCTAAAGATACTTACATCGATGTACAACTCACCGCAAATAACTGGATCAATCCCATGAGGCTCTCTTCTGGCCTTTAGCACTACGATATTCAAGCAACTCGGCTTCGAAGAAAATTGTTCCTTACAGTATAAAGTCGGAGAAAGTCAAGGTGAACTAATCTATGCGCAAAACTGCAAAAAAAAGCCTGAGCAGATAAAGCACAGCCCTAGCATACTGTAAAGCACAGGGTTGAATTTGCTTTTATATTATTTTTCTAAATATTTCAGACAGCTCGAATTTGCTCGATCTCAGACGGAAGACGCAAACAAAGCATACAGTGATAACTCCTGCAAACGATAGAGCGTAGAACGAGGGCGACGCTTTGGACGCAGCCAGGGTAGATTTCCCACCAGTTGAAGTGGGATCAGGATCGCACCATTTTCAGAATAATTTTACCTTGGCTGCGCTCCAGTGCGCGCCGTGTCACACGCCCTATCATTTGCAGGGATGACTGTAGATCAGCAATAGCAAATCATTACAAAGAAGAACATGAACCTCATGCTTCAACCGGTAACGCGCACTCGCGCACTACACTAAATATTTTGGTCCTTTTGCAATGCAAATCTAATACGAGCAAATATAGGGACAAGTTCGCTGAGCGGGTAGCGTTTAAAGGACTCCTTATGCAAAGCTGGTACTGCAGTGAAGTAAGCGAGCTATCGCATTTAAAAATGGTTCATCAACCACTTGTTGTTAGCTCGGCCAGGTTACAGCATTGCTGGTTGGAATTGTAATTACTAGAAGAGGGCTGTTAGCGCGGGAGTGACTCAGAACTGACGAACGAACAAATGGATGATAGTGAAATTATTAATCTTTCCAGACCATTGAATTACATCGATCTGCAGGGGCCAGCCTTATGCGAATGATATTTACTTGTTGGCATGTAACCAACACATACGCGAAACTCGTACAATGAGACTGGCAAGGTGGTCTTTATTAAAAGGCTCCAGTGGATTTTTTGCTCTATTTTCTTTGATGGAGGGTCATTTGTCTTGCAGACGATATGGAACGGCGAACATGTCTTCCAGGAAATCGACAATGATGAACATGACGAAACTTTCGAGTACTCACATTCACATTTTGCATACATCGGTACATCTTCACTTTCAAATATCACTGCGCGAAAGACTGCGGTAGACCCATCCTCAGAGTACTGCACCGTGAAATGGTGGGTGTCACTACGACCAACGCTCTCGAAGGAGGGCCGGTACGACCACCACCCCCCCCCCCACCAAAAAGAAGGCCTCGGTACGACCCCCCCCCACCTTTCCCCAATGGCTACCTTTCAATTTCACACACATTCCAATTTTTACCCAAAATTTTTCCGATACATAGCCAATGCGAAACGGAAAAGTTTCTCAGATTCTCCCCAAATTCCTACCACCTTTTCCGGACTTTCCCAAAAATTTTCCTACTTTTCCCCTAAAATTTTGCTATCGAACGTGGGGGGATACGACCAGATACGACCCCCCCCTCGCCAGCGGAAAAGTACGACCCCCTAGGTGTTTCACACAACGATGCTGTACCTTGCCCGTCCTTCCCCTGATATCTCCTCAAACCTGCCGCCATCCCACTGCAATGCTACAGCTCCATGACTCTTTGAAAGGCCATGGGAAAGGGTGCTGTGCTTTACGTCGCTCAAAAATATACGAAATCAAAGAATTTGTCAATCAGAGGGTTAGCCACCACAAGCCCAACAGCTGACGGCTGCATTCCTTCATCGCAGCAACTGCTCCATATAAAAATAATAGCAATACGAAATAAATAAGTCAAAAGCACTACGACATTAGCGTTGAGAGCTGGCTCAACTAATGTTCGCGGGACTGAGCCAACCATTTCTATGTAAGAGTGTGAAACGTATTCTTGGCTTTTTTACCATCTACCCCGTTGAACAAATAGACGATCCACCGTCAAAACTTAAGCCGCGTCGACACGACTCTGTACAAACTGTTAAACCCTCGACCTTGGAAATTACTTGTTTGAGCGAGGCAAACAAAGTCTACGACGTTGGACTGACTGGACCTTGACCGCATAGAATGAAACAGAAAAATCCCATCACCTTTGTAAGGAGAATGAAACAGAAAATCCCATCACCTTTGTAAGGCTTCGACTATTTGATCTCCGCTGTTGAAGATATTCTGCAACTGGTGGTATTAACCAGGGAGATCCGCCAACTTACCATGGAACTTTGAATGGAGACCTGGGTAGATCGATAGAGTCTATAAGGTTATTTACAAATATAGATAGCAAAACTGCAACCTGCATTTCACAAGCAACTTATGAGCAGGTAAAGTTGTAATGGTGCAGTAGGGTGGAGGCTTGGTGGTGAGCTGTGAAGCATAAGCGAGGAATCGCATACGTCGAATCGAGTCGTGGTGGTTCAGTGGTAAGGTTCGACGTTCGACGACTCGATTCGACGTATGCGATTCCTCGCTTATGCTTCACAGCTCACCACCAAGCCTCCACCCTACTGCACCATTACAAACTTTACCTGCTCATAAGTTGCTTGTGAAATGCAGGTTGCAGTTTTGCTATCTATATTTGTAAATAACCTTATAGACTATCGATCTACCCAGGTCTCCATTCAAAGTTCCATGGTAAGTTGGCGGACTTCCCTGGTAGGCAGCGCGTTTGCCACGCTTGCGTCCGTGGTCAGATTTCAGATCGGCCCCACCCATGACGAGTAACCCTTCTAGCATCCGCAGCCAGAAAGCTCCGGATGCTAGAAAGATAAGAGGGAAAGCTGGTTTCAATTCATCTGAGAGGATAAAAACACTAGCTTGTGCACGTACAACGTTATAACGTATCGCACGTATGAAGTGGTAATCACTTACCTCCCTGCTGTTCAGCGAGAGGCAGTGAAATTCTGGGAAAACCGCAAATGATTGGTTTTTTTGCTCGGGGGCGGGGGAGGGAGGGAGGGGGTGGGTGGGTGAAGAGATCTTCTATTTTAGAGCTTCTGGGGTGTGGTGTGACTAACCCAGTTATGACTGGGAAGTAGGCAAATGAGGAATTCGGCCAGTTTCAAGTCTTGAATACGACTACCTGTCCAAATGATTTACCACTAGAGCGACTTCACTAATAGCAAGCGTGGTCGGCACAACAGTGTGAAATAGAAACCGACTCCGGAAGCTGTTAGATGGGTCAGTTCGCATGCAAAGTGTCACTCTGATTCCGAATGAAAGGCAAATGTGTGCCGCTTCTCAAGATTAGCGAGGCGTAGTTCGGCGGGGGAGGGGGATTCGGCACCTTTGCTACTTTACATCGACTATCGAGCCATGAGGAGAGCCATTTCATAGGCTTACAAGAGCTGACAGTTTTACTATGACAGCTCGACGAGCATGTTCCAGCTCCATAAGAGTTCAAGGAAAGCAAAGTACAAAATCCCTCCCCCCTCCCCGAACCGCGCCTTCCGCGATCATCTATCAGTATACTCCTTATCCCTGAGAAGGAGTAGGCGTGACATTTGAACACGGCACAGAATGGGTTACTCGTGGGATATTTCAATACGGCACAGCTGTCATTTTGTTCTGTATTGGACATAAATATGAATGTCCCAAAATGAAACTATTCCACCAAAAGCATAAACACCGCCGCGTTTAGCCGAAGTACGCAGCCCTGAAAAGAACGCAACGCGTCTGTGTTGCGACTTGTCTGGCCCTGCCTTCTTGGGTTTAACTCCACCTACAACATGAAGATATCTATCTCAACTGACCTATCGCTGCCTGGTGCCTCCCACGCGCGCCTATCTTTTCTGCGTCTCTCTATACCCTGGACCAATCGTATATCTCGAATCAACCGAGCTTCATTTGCCACCTTTTTGGACGAATTTTCCACTTTCTTCTCTGTTATCGAGCCGCTTATCACCTTGCTGGGCATACTGCGCGATGAAGCTGGCGAGCAATTCAAAATAACAAATAGGAAGCGATTTCAAAGGCACCGAGTTCACATGACAGCTAATAAGCAATCAAAAAAGTGAGGACGACTGCAAAGGACAGCCAGTCCTTTGAAACAGATCAAGAATCTCTCGGACATGCAAAATTCAACAAAATGAATAACAAATGCACATAGATACGTAAGCGTTACTGCATTTCACCGGCCCAGCGCCTTTTTGATCAACTAGGACGCTGCTAGTGAACAGAGGGGTGTCCGGCACCTGAATAATCTGCACATCTTCAGGTAAAGCTTGCTACGTACCATAAAACTATCCTACAAAAGCAGCAAAATACAATTGGTTCTCTCAGCGGAATTCCTGACAGATGATTAAAATTAACAAATCTAAAGAAAAGCACGGAGGTTTCCCACCAACAAGTAGGTTAACATATGGAAATACCTTTCGGAAGTGAGTAATCCATTTGTGCTGCATCGTCTGTTCTAATGGTTATTCGCTCTGCTGCATCCGTCTTCAACAATTTCTTGATGAGATCTTTGGCTAAAATTAGATGCTAATAGATGGTCGACTGATGCTAATATGTAGATGGTGGTGATGATAACGATGATACAGAAAACGAGAGGGGGACAAGTGAAAGAAAGGAAATCTTACCAGCTTCGGAGACGCAATCCCATTCGGGTGACGGGAAAGTGTACTGACCCGACTTGATCTTCGCCTTCATTCCTGGTGACATTGGAAGTCCATTTTGAGAAAAGAACGGGGGATATCCACATAATCTGTTCAAGGATACATAAAAAGCGTGGTTCAGCCATATTATTTCACAGAACACTGCACAAAGGGAGTACAGTCTTGTGCATTGCGGATGACGGGGCGTGTCGTTCGAATGGTTTTGTTACGTCGCCGTGCCCGCTTTCCACCAGTTGTCGAACGAAACAAAGCGAGCAGAACTGCATAATATCCTCGTAATCAGTCTTTCCCCCACAATGCTTGTAGCAGCGCGCTCAACAGCTAGTGGAAAACTGCGCCATAACTCCTCCGACGCGTCCCTTCAACCGCGAGGAACAAAACACTCTACTCCAACAATTTTCAAAAAACGTACAATATGTACATAACGACGCCTACAGACCAAGACCGGCCGATTTTGTCATATTTTTCAGCGCCCAAGACCTTAACAGGTTATTATGAAGAACAGTCCGAGAAGGTATCTGTGAATTTCGACAAAACTCACTTCAGGAGCACAGTAATATGGTGTATAGCATGCAGTGGCAAGGCCAAGTGGTTCCGAATCGTCAGTCCTTTTCGCGAATCCAAAGTCGGTAAGTTTTAACCGTGCGTTAGGTGAATTATCTCTGAAATACGAAATAATTTCACCTGGCGTAACCAGATCGACTAAACAAGCAAAAAAGATTAATTGATGTACTGTACAACATGAAAATTATGAAGTCTTAGCTACCGATTAGAAAGGAAAGGAGAGGTAATCTAAGAAATCCCCGCTTATTCATGTCGTATGAATTTCTTCTTATAATTGCACAGTTATACATGGAATATGGGGGCAGTCGGCTTGGTAGGAGGGAGGGGAAGGG